ACTTAGGTGATCAAACACTTGCCAGGTTGCAGCCATGAGTGACGAATGAACCAGAGAATATCACTGATATTGACGTGATACTTTTGCATTGCCTATGGTTCCAGGCTTGTAAGATGTCCGAAAAGGTGTCCACGATCAACAAGGGGTGTTCCGGACGAGGGAGTTGTACCAAGGTGCTTGAGATCTCATAAGACGAGAGTAATAGTGAGCCGTAAGAGATGGACAGAATATCTCAACTTGCAGAGACCAAGCTGAAGGATACACAGGTCCTGGGACGACAGTGGAGGTGTCCTACGATCGGGATACGGCCGCCAGCGTAAGATTTGTAGATGATCAAACATCGTTGTGCATATGAAAGAAGGTCGAGCTAGTAACCATTGGAAATAGACCGTATGAGCGACCAACGGGGAATTCGGTGAACTACCGGACGTGACGGTAGTACAAGGTGCAATCATCTAGCCATGGAAGATGACGTGTCTTCAGCCAGACATTCGACAATCATAGGCTGCAGATCACTATGCCTAGGCTGAGCTCTATGTTTCTTCATTGACCTGAAGTTTCACAACTCCACACGGAGTTTGCAGATCTGTGAAGGGGGTCAGAATAGCGAAGGCGGGACGAGTTGACGCTCCGACGTACAGTGGAAGACGAGCTTGAGATCCTTCAAAGTTCAACTGTTACACATCAAAACTAGTCGCACATGTCGATTATATTGCTGATTCTGGAAGGTGGCAGGTCGTTGTATGGTAAACCGGGGGCCGAGTTGCAAGGTATCGATCCAGACGAGCTAGCTAAGGCACATAGATCTCAAGCATAGAAAAGCCTAGTCTATAAATGGTGCGAATGAAGTGTCGTGATAAGGTATCAGAAACCTCGAGAAAAGGAAGTTCAGTAAGCTCGCCATCGGTCGATCTCGAGCATGCAAGCATGACTCCACCAAATGAAGGTCTATATCAAACAGTAGCAGATCAAATACACATGTATGATCATAATACGAGGAAGATGTCATGAGTAAAGTATTGAGTTCTTAAGAGGTCAGTAGTTGGCAAGAGGAGGAGGAGGAGGATAAGGCATGGGTCCGGTCTCGGCGCTTATGGCAGCATGCCGAGGGTGGGCACAACGCAGCCACTCGCAAGACGGGCAGTCAGGAAACATCCCATCGAGGGATACATCTATAGTGTTCATCGTTGCCCAGCGGATGACAAGTCCTGTTTGCGATGAATCCTCTCCTTCGCTTCTCGCAGTTGCGATTTGTTGTAGCGGAGGGTAGTGGTACTGAAAATTCGTGGAGGGGACAGGTGTTTCGCTCGGTAGTGCTGCACTCTATCGTATATACTTTATAGTTATGAATCTTTCAATGAAAATGTTTTTCCTCTTGCATTTTCCTCTTGCATTATGAGGAATACAGGTAATAGTATGTGCAGTTTACATGTAGTTCGGTAGTTGGAGGGTTAGGTTGGAGGTCCAGAGGCGACATACATAGGATGGGAGTCAAATTCCTCCAGTACGTGGTAGACTAGGCGGGCGAGAGAGGGCAGGGCGGCCGGCTAAGAGAGGAGTGTACGGAAGAGCAGTATGATATATCGAGGGCGACGTTTTAATGTTTTTAGGTAGGACGAGGCTATCGAGGCAGCAAGAATTGCAGTACGGGACGATGTGGTCTACCGCAGCGAGGGGTATAATGGGACGGGTTGGTCAACCATGATAGACATGCATTACGGGACGATGTGGTCGACCGCAGCAGGGGATATAATGGGACGTAATGATCGAGGGCAAGGGCCTCAGCAGAGGAGACAGGTACAACTACGATGGAATCAGCAGTGCTGCAAGGTTCGTCGAGTGAGAGAAGAATTTCTTCTTGAAAGTCAACCATATCGTACGGAAGGCTGGGGGATGGGCATTGAGGAGGAGCACAGTGCGGCAGAGCGTGGGAACAATGTCGGGCTTGCCGGTCCGCCCGGCTTCCGGGTTTACGCTCTTTCCGCCCTCCAGACGAACTTCTTGCTGTAATCTACTATAGTACTATACTTCATTAATTAAGGCCCTCAACAGGACAAATATTTATATCCAGAGTTGTTCCAGAGTCAAGGCATTCTTACGGGAACTTCAATGCGATCGATTTTATTCCTTACTCTTACATTTCAATTACCACAGTAGTTAAAATCTTAAAATCACTATGATCTCTTTATCCTCGTGATAAATAATTTCAGAAGCTGAAGAATCTCCTCTGAGCCATCGCATAATCTGTTCTGACGGTTTTGGGATAGAACATCTGGATTGTGTTCATAGGAGTATTTTATCTTCATGTCCGCCTTATATGTCCCGGCTTGAGGAATAATTAGGGAGCCCGAGTGTAATTTCCGCAGTACGAGTTCCTGTCTGGTTGCTCAGAACATATATGCGGCGAAGAGTTTTATACCATATATCTGAAAAACCATCTGAGGGCGTAACTATAAATATCATCAACATCTTGTTTCCTTTCCATTTCGCTTTTTCAAAGGTGTCTGCCAACATTTAGTTCTTGAAGCCGTTCCTTCATTTTTTCTGCGCACCACTATATTTTATTCAGGGCAGGATTAAAATTGGACTAAATGGATCATGGTAAATAACTCCCCTCAATCAGAGTTATGAGAATTTAGAATGTTCCCATTCCTACTACCAGACACCTCATGTTTCTTTCCTTCCACGGTCATCGCATGTTTAACCATTTCCTCAGCCCGGACAAGATCATCATCTGGGTCTCCGTTGCCTTCCCATAGCCATTCCGTTAATTTATTGAGGGTTCCACCGGCACGTTCGTCAGAGGCTCCATCATATTCTCCAAGGAACTCAAGACATCGACAAGCTTCCCGAGAGCACTTAACGACACGATCACCTCGTTCTTTTCTGACAGCTTCATACGCCTTAAGAATTTGAGGAATAGACGAAAGAGTTGCTAGGGGTGACCCGAGAAGATTGGCGAGAATATAGGCATCCTAGAGCCATCTATGATATCTATATAGTAATGGGATATAAGTGATTCATACCTCTAGAACCTGGCCTCCTCCTGAACCAAGAAATGGAGTCGTGGCATGAGCCTGACAAGAATTAAATACTGGAACCCGAATTGTATTTGCTACTTACAGCATCGCCCAGTAATGTGACATGACCTTTCGACCAGAAAGGAAGAGGATCCAAGTCATACATCGCCCATCTCGATGATTTATCGATACACTGATGTTATGGCCGTCAGTTATTTCCGGATAAATAAATCCGATTTTTCTTTACCTTGATAAGATCCCGTACTTCGAGCTCGAATGTGTCAAAATAAGACGCTAGTTCTTCGTGTTCCGCATCGCCAACCCAGTGTTTGCTTTGCCATTCTTCTTGTTTAGTGTGATCAGAGCTATAACCGATGAAATTGAAGAATTGGCCGCCGGCCACAGGATATATTGCGATGTGCTAATATCATATTAATCCAATCGAACCCCGTCCGAACATAGATTCTCACCCTTTCCTTTCCTATATACTGAATAACGAGGGATGTTTAATTCCGTGAAGACTTTAAAAAATACCGACTTACCATCTTTCGTCCGGGCGTCGTGATAAGACCATGGTTAGGATTAATGACACGGAGCGTGTCCGGATTGACTAATGCACGGTATGCAACAGTCCCACTGAAGCTCGTACCCACAAAGCGCTTCCAATCATGTTCCTTTGAATCAGTCATCTTTCGTGTATCAGATATACCGTTTACTTCAGAGTCTCCATACAATAGCTGACCACGGACAGCACTTTTTATGCCGTCACACCCAACGAGAACATCACAGGTGGCCGAAGTCCCATCCGTGAAGTACATTGTAACAGCGTCAGACTCAACTCCGTCTTGTTGCGAGAACGATACACAACGTTTCTTAAAGTGAAATATTGCACGCCCTGTCTGTTGCAGTTCTTCAGCCAGTATGTCGATTAAATGGGATCGATGAAAGCCAAAGTTTGCTTTAATAAAAGATAATGAATTATTAACTGCGAAACTTCGAAAGATAAACGCCATCATACTAGTCATATCCCAAGTTCCTATCACTTTGCCAACTTCAGGTCCCTCGGATCTTCTTACTTCGAAGGTTATACCTGTCATAACGTAGGTGAAGACAGAAAAATAGGTATTCAATGGTCGTTGAGATTTACCATCATATTTTCCTGGCTCTGCAGTGGCGATCTTGCGCACTTTGTCTTCCAGACCCCATCGACGCAGCGTCGTGATACCACGTCCCCAGATCCCAATCCCAGCCCCTATCTCCTTGAATCTTTCTGAAGATTCATAGAGATGGATTTCAATGTCATCGAAACGCGCCAATCCAAGAGCGAAGGAAAGTCCTCCGATGCCTCCTCCGCTATGACAAGCGTTTTGATTAATACGATGTCTAATAAAATAGCTGTGTTAACTCACCATATGGCAACTCGAAATTTGGGCTTCATGGGTGGTATAGACATAGCTCTTCCAGTTTGATTGATAATGCATGGGAAACCAGGCTATATAAACAGGAGAAGGCGCGGGGGGTAATCAAACCTTCCTTTTACAGCCCTTTCCCACCTCGTGCCAATGCACCTTCTTTACCCCGTATGGTGGAAGATATGACGCTGAAGCTATCTTCGTTATACATCTACGATATGGCTCCGCCATAATTAAATAGGATTGGACGATGGAGGAAAAAGGAAGAACTAGCCGGCATAGTACGAGCCGAAATTTAGAGATATCCAAGTTGAAGATGCTGCACTTGAAGTGTGTCGAAACAGCGAATAACAGATTGCTCTGCAAATAACGAGAAAGAATTAAGATGCTTCTATCAAAGTAAGTGGATGAGACACACCAAAGGACAGAGCTTAACCAACACCCAGCATATCGCTAAAAACAGTGGGTTAACTAGGACTTCTCCATCCCAATCGTTATATTTGTACCTTCGCTTTATAAAAATACTACTTCCTTAGAGCGCCTATTTAGAGTGAACAAGAAGAAAAACTACTAGGACCGGGAATCGAACCCGGCGCGCATGCTATGAATTTACTTCTTGGGAAGCATGCAGGTTACCACTACCCCACCCCAGTCGACAAGGCTTAGTATTATTGTTTAGCCTACTGGGGTGTCTCAGAGACTAGCAATCAGATTAGCTTCAGGATCGAATCTGACACAACAAATCTGAGGAACCTCTGGTGTGAAGGGCTTACTTTATGAAATGCAATATTCGCAATGACTAACCCGGGCTTTACTCCTCTCTTTTGCCCCATCGTACTCTAATCTTGCTGTTCGTGGAACAGGCATCGCATGAGATTTGAGCCTGTGATGTCTCGTCTGGAAGCATGCGGCTTAATATGGCTCATAAACGTTCTGAAGCATGAACAGCTTGCAATGAGCGCGTCGTTTGATGAGCTTTGCTCGAGCGACGAGAGTTAAGTTGGGCGGAGTGGGAAACTGGCAGAGCGCCCACTGGGCCCCACTGGCACAGCCTATCCATCCAGTCCAACGGTTTTATATTCATCTTGGGAAATTATTAGATTTTATCTGCTGACTTATGGACTCGGAGCTAAACGAATCGATGCTAAATAATAGAGAATATTCATCTGGGAACCTCAAGCCACCAGGGGCCACCTGTGGTCATCTTGGGCGCATCTGGCAAGGCGCATCTTTAGACATGGAGGCGTCGTTACCATGGTTCCAAGCAGCTACATTTTATCGATCTGATGGCGCCCACGTTGTATAAAGATGTGCCGAATATGACGTAGAAAATAAAAAAACAGCTGTGGATGCGTGTGTTATGTCTATGCAGCATTCCCATAACGACCCTGTGCCCTCTTTAGGGTCACGAGGGATCGACAGGAGCTGAGCCGATCAGGGAGCTTGCATCCTCTTGCATCACGGTGTATCCAATGCTTGAATGATGCGATCAGGAATGCGTGGGTACCCTCCCAAAGGCGCGTGCTCTTTCATTTGTCGTGTCGGAATGCAGCTGAATAGTTGTCTGTGCGGTTTGACTATCATCTTTGATTAAGCTTACAAAAACATTGATATGGGAGAAAATGCAGGTATTACACATGTATGTACGGCCAAACCAGTGACATATAGTATTCAGGTTTGCTTATTACTGAATGATATCAACACTGTCAGTATACTGCCCTGGCTTCCTTAGAGCTCAATACTTCCGTCTTCCTTCTGTTGTAATTTTCTTTTCAGGATAAATCGGCACCATTAGGCGCAAACTAAATCTTGTTACTTAGCAAGAATATTGATGAATCCTAAATGTGAGGCAACTTCTCCTGCCCGTTACCACATTGCCGCATTTCTGATGATCCCCTTATCTACCTTGAATTATGTGGGAATTCGTCAGAATATTACATAGCCTTCTGTCTCCTGGGAGTACCTGGGGTGGCTGGGAGCAGCTGACACTGAAATCCCGAAGAATCCCACACTTCCCATCACTCCCTGATCGACGCATCAGATTGTGGTGGCTTTGTCCAATGAGAATGCGTCCACTCATCTCGGGTGGCGGTGAGTGCGATAGCAGTGGGTGCCAATAGATATTACGTGGAGAAGATCACCCTCACTTACGGACATCACACAAACGTGGTTAGCTAGCACAGCTGTATTGATCTATGGTATATTTTAGGATCTACTATGGAAAACATTTAAAGGAATCGCTCAGCGAGTAGAAGGGACATCCCAAAACCAAGCGAACAATGCCTGCTCTCGCAATTCCCACTTCTCCAACTACCCCCATAGTCGCTTCTCCGAAGACTTGCCAGCCGTTTCAGTCATTCCCAGTTGCCGAAGATGTCCATTCGTATCATGCACCAGCTGCCGGTCATAGTCGATCACCATGCCCTGCATTAAATGCACTATCAAACCACGGTTATCTTCCCCGCGACGGAAGAAACATTACATTCTTCAAGATTATTGAAGCTATGCATGAAGGAATGGGTTTATCGCATGAATTCGCTTTCTTCATGGCCATGGGAACCTTCACTCTCCTGAGAAGACCAAGTCTGAAGGCTTTTGACCTTCACGAGACTGATTTGCATGGATATATCGAGCACAATGCCAGCGTAACACGGGACGATACTCCTGCAGGACAGAAGTTCGCTCCCCTTGACATTGACCACCTTCGAGTTCTCCACTTCATAGAAAAAGCCCATGTCACCCTTACAAGTCAAGGACAACGTGTCATCGATCAAGAGGATGTCGCTGAGGAGCGGATAGAATTGGAAACTCAATCTCTTCCTCTTGGCCCCCTGTACTCTGAAATTGCACGAGCCGAATTCGCTATGGTGCTAGAGATATTCGGCTTCGGAAAAGACAGAGAGGTTGCCATGGAGGACGTTCGGATTCTGCTGGAGGAGGATCGATTCCCGCCTGGCTGGAAGCCAACACATGTTATTCACTTAAGGGACGCCGTGAAAAGGAGTTCAAACATCCGAGGAATCATGAACCAGCAGAAGAAGGACGAACAGACTGTCGATGCGCATGAAAATAAAACGGCAGATTCTTATGTACTTGAGATACTCTCAAATTGGTGGCAGCACTGGCATTCTGGATAATTGAATAGAACTCAGGAGGCTTTACCTATCTTTATATCATATGTACCTTAGTTTTGTAGTTATTAGTTATCATTATCACAAATCGAACTCTATTTAGACAGCTATATACCTTGGATGCATTAAGACATGTGTTTAAAGTCGGACTTAGTTAACATTGAAGAGTCTTTGTAATCCTGGTCAACCAGTCTTCCGCGCTACCCTTATATTGTTCCCGCCTTTTCCTTATATTCGTTATTGGACTACTTACATAAGCACCGAACCCGTAACCCGTACTCCGTACACATGTAGACTGTCCTCGTTCTCGACATATACACAGTGGTCCTGTTAACTTGTGTGACTGCTCAGTGAGGCTTAATGACGACAGCCTTTCAGTCTTCAGTTCTACGGGTGAACGTCACTTAGAACTGGTCTGATAAATTGTAAAGAGACTTTGATGGTAAATGATATATAATACGTGACAATATCAACTCTAGGACAGTTCAAAGAAGACCTCGAAAAGCAGTCATGAGGACAAATCGAAAGAACTCTGGATCTTCTATTGGCGGGAACGACTCCGAACACTTATTGCGTCAATGGGGACTTCATTCGAAATATAAATTTCAAAGTTACATTCCCCAAAATATTCAGTAAGATGTAACTAAAATATCAATCTAATAATATAAGGAAACGATGCAAGTGATTGATTCAACGCGAAAGGAAAGGAAAAAGTCCGAGACAAGTCGTGAAGGTCATATTTTTAGTTATCTTCCAAAGGGGAAGACCTGGGCGCAATTGTGTTCTGCACTAACAGCACCGAAGAAGAAGCCCAAATTCTTGTTGAGAGCATTCTTAATGGGGTGAGGAACGACGCGGAGAGCGATGTTTTCATAGATACCGCAGAAGTTACTGAGAGCAGGTGTGTTGGGCAACAATACGAAGTTGTTTACACCGTAATTAACGCCGGGAGTAAAGGGGTGCTTGGTGAAGATTTGATTGACGAGGGGCTTGGCAATGCCGAAGTTAACGGGGGCAGGCTGACGGAAGAAATCATCTGGCATCCTCTGGAAGTCGAAGAAGTCACACGCAGCGGGAATTGTAAGCTGGCGGCTATTCAAGCGACCATCGACGAAGAAGACGAGAGGGAAGACGACCCCAGATTAGGCGGAGAGAAGACGAGGGGAGAGAAGACGAGGTTGGGGTTGCCCGGATGGAGTCAAGAAGACGTTCGTGACGGAGTTCGGCGGCGGCATTGATATCATAGGTACTGGAGAAACCGAATTCAGTCGAGATATTGATGAACTGTAGGTATGCAAATTTAATTCAAAGAATAAATTATATGACATACCTGTTGGAAAGGAGTCTCGTTGAATACGACTTGATCTCCCAAGAAGGCATCGACACGAGTCATACTCATATCACCTTCGAAAGTGCCGTGCTGGCTGAGGCCACCGACGAGCGCGGGCTTTGGTAGGTCGGGACCGGTCTCGGGTGTCTTCATTCCGATGCTCATCAAGTTGGTGAGGGGATTGCCCTTCATTAAGAATGCTTGGTATACTAAGAACTTGCCAACATCGTTGCCCAAGTTCAAACCTAAAATGTATTGTTTTCATTTTGAACTTTTCATATAATAATGAAAATGCTCATACCTTCCATGACAGCGATAACAAGCTGGTCGGGCCTGGCAACACCACTTCTGGGAAGATACTGGGTGAAAATTATTAGCACATATTCCGTAACTATACTGTAATAGTTTAAGTACTCCGTGAGAAGCGAGAGTATTCAAGGCGGGACACAGGCCACGAATATCATTAGGACCGGCGAGCATGAACGGGTGAGCGGCGTCGTTCACCAACTTGAGTCCTCCATCGACTAACGACTAACGGTCCTGGCGGTTTGGGGATGGGAGCCACATCATTGCGAGCAACGAACTTGCTAATCTCCCTTTCACTGACTCCAGCAAGAGAATCATAGACAGGGAAGATCATCGCTAAACGGAGGAGGATAGAGAGGAGGAGAGTAGTGAATTTGGCCATTTCTGATACTAATAGAGATACAGTAGTAGAGCTAATAGGTGCAGTAGAATATTAGTGTCGCTGAAGACGATGGAGATTAGAGCCTTTTCACTCTAGCTTTTATACCATCGTCTAGAGAGCTGTACTCGTGACAAAGGCTCACCTAAACGCAAATTAGAGCTGTCCGAATTGATCCATGTACCCTCCATAAAACCCTCTAAATATAGTTTCGCTTTGCTTGTTTACATTTATAGAAGTCAGGGATTTGGTCCTTGGTTCAGTGGAGTACATACACGTTAAGTACCTTTGTGGCTATGTAGATAAGTACGATCCAGTAGATAGTTTATGTAAGTAGCTTATGTAAGTAAATAGTAAGTGATAGTCGGTGACACATCCCAAAATATTATCTCCACTCCGCTTTATTTTCTAAACAGCATTTTTCGCTCATCACTGTCTCGCCGGCGCTGGATATTGGTTCGAAATCTGCGACTGGTTACGTGAGAGGGCGCGAGAACCCTTCCACCA